TAAGTTTTCTCAAACCTCACTCTGTTATTTTGGACACCTAATAGAAAATAGAACGTTTAAACCAGATCCCGAAAGGTTCCAGGCCTTACAACATTATCCCATTCCAACTAACATTAAACAATTAAACAACTTGATAGGCTTCTTTGCATACTATGCTAAATGGATCCCTAACTGCACCAATCTCACTACCATTCTTACTAATTCTTGTGACTCAATAAGCAAAAATATCCCTCTTTCAGAGAAAGCTACCACTGCCATTAAACAACTAAAAGACCAATTAACCACAGTCTCCTTAGAAACACCTTATCCAAATATTCCACTTAAAATTGAAACTGACGCATCTCAAACTGCCATTGGTGGAACACTAAGTCAAGAAGGAAGACCTATTGCATTCTTCTCCAGAGTCCTATCAAGGCCTGAAAGTCGCCAATCTGTCATAGAACAAGAAGCAATGGCTATTATGGAATGTTGTCGTCTATGGAGACACCTACTATTTTCCGCTCCGAAATTCGATATTTTAACCAATCAAAAAATTGTTTCCTTCCTTTTTAATCCAGGAAAAATTTCTAAAATAAAAAGTGACAAACTTACAAGATGGTGATTAGAACTATCTGAGTATCGGTTCAATATTTCATATAGATCTGGACTAGAAAATATTGCAGCAGATGCACTCTCTAGATGCCTTACCATAAATACCAATCTTAGTACACTACGACAACTACATATCAAACTATTTCACCCAGGAGTAACACGATTGAACCACTACTGCAAGACATGGAATTTACTCTACACTATCTGTGAAATAAGAGACATAATTTCTGACTGCCAAGTATGCTGTGAGCTCAAACCTAAATTTTTTCAACCCCCGCCTGGTCAACGGATCTCTTCTACTAGACCATGGGAAAGACTCGTTATGGATTTCGTTGGCCCTCTTCCATCAAAAACTGCAAACAAATACCTTCTAGTCATAATTGACGAGTATTCCAGATACCCATTTGCATTCCCTTGCTTCCAAATCACCTCTGATACAGTAATAAAACATCTTTTAGAAATATTTTCGCTCTTTGGCACCCCTGCCTGCTTTCACTCCGATTGTTGTACTCAGTTTGAAGGAAAAAAACTAAGAAACTTTCTTATAGGCAACGGTGTCAGCAAGACACGAACAACACCTTATTGATCACAAGAAAACGGGCGATGTGAAAGACTAAACTCTACAATTATGAAAACAATAAACTTAGCTTTACGAAGTTTTGAACTAAAAAAAACTGACTGGTAGCTGGTACTCCCTGCAGCTCTATCCTCTATTCGATCCCTACTATGTACTTCAACAAGTTCTAGTCCACACAACAGATTAATGGGTTTCAAACGCTCAACTATTACTGGTGTTGATCTACCTGACTTCCTAGTAGAAACAGGTAGTACTGTCCTACATAAAAATCACCTTCAATTGAAAAGAGATCCATTGGTAGAACTAGTCACTTTGCTTGAAACTGTATCACCACACTATGCACGTATAAAATATATGAATTGCAGAATTGACACTGTATCAACATGATATCTAGCAACATGTGCCACTCCCCACATTAAAGAAATAATCCAACCACCCGAAACCTTTGAGACATCAATTTCACCCAAAGAAGACGGTTTAACAGCTACAAACGTTAGCAATAACTTTGAAACCGATGAAAATAACCTGATATTACCAACTGATTGCCATCCTCCGTCTACCACCAATGATTTACCCTCTCCAAATAAAACAACTACTAGTACCAATATTACACCATCGATAACTCAATATCCTGACGTCACTAGCACCCAAAACTTACTAGTTAAAACTAACCGTCCACATCGTATTAGAAGACCACCCTCAAAGCTTAATTTGTAATAAAACTTAACTAAATCAAAACTATATATAAATATCTATTGGAAGAGCGGAAGACTGTGATATTGTGTTATTGTGTTATTTCAATATTGCATTATTATATTTATATTATGTATATTGTGTTTCTTTATATTTTAGATAATATTATAAAAACCTTACTACTAAATCACTTGTATTAGTCGTGATCGGGTCTACAGCATACCTAATGTATTTTTTCTTATTTGTTTACATGTTTATTATTGGTTTGTTTACATTTTTGTCTTCCTGAGAAAAACATTGCATCACGTGATTCATAATAGCCGCTTAATTACAAAATCTTCTATACCAAGACCAAGACATCAAAAAGTCAACCCAAGACCAAGACCAAAACTTTAAAAACTTTCATTAGACCAAGATAATTTCTTAGAAGTTTAAAACAAGACTCACGTTCACCCTCTTATGCTTTTTTAGCTGATGTATCTTTTTACCATTTATACACATTACTCTGTAATAAAACGTAGTTACAAATGTATAATATAATTATGTTATTGCAAATTGTGCACTGTCTACTAAAGCTATCTTCAATAATAACAAAAAATGTTCCTTTTATTGTTAAAAACCAAATGTATCAATAAAAAAAGGTTGCAGGATCATTACACTGTGAAATTGATAATACCACAGAACTCTAACTTTAACCCTGACAAAAGCAAACATGCAATTTTTTTTTTAAACTATAGTATTTTTTAACTATAGTAGCAGCGAAAAAAAAGAAATTTAAAGTAAAGTTTGCACATTCTATTTAAGTACTTTATGTAACAAGTAAAACTGACAGCTCTGTATCACTTGATTTCACAACTTAAAAATATTTAAGTTATATAATCAAGTGATACATAGCATAGGTCTAGGTCTTGGGCCTTTACTGTCCAAGGTCCAAGACCAACATTCCCATCCTTCAAGATCAAAACTTAGACCAAGACTAAGAAATTAAATATGAGTATTAAGATCTCTCAAGACCAAGATTTAAGTCTCGAGTCCTTCATCTCTGGATTTTTCTGGATTAAATTTATTTTTAAATTTCACATGAAGTTCTTGCTAAATAATTTGAAAATGTCTCTGCTGTCAAAGGAAGTTGCTCATTATTTATGGAACTTATTATTTCTCACCTTAATTAAAAGCTTATGTAACATCAATGCTGGTGATTATTTAAATATCCATTAACACCAAAAAGCTCATGTCACATGGCAATAATATCACTAACTGGATAAATAGTGATAATTATAAATTATAATTCATGATAATTAGCTGCTTATTAAAAAAATCTAATATCTGATTCATATATTTGATGTTTTTAATTAACAACTAATAATCAATTATGAAGTAAAAACCAAACCTAATAATAAAAGTTGTTTGTAACAAGTTTGATTTTTTTCTTTTATTATTTTTTTATTATTTAATTATAGAATGGTTTAATACCCCTTATATATTATGAAGGTTGTTTAAAAACCTGTTCAACAGTATTTTGGAAGATATCAATCATTTTTGATTTTGAGATATAATACTTCTTAATTGTGTAAATATGTTAAAAGTATCACATTGAAACAATATGTTTAAAGTATCACATTGAAACAATAATGAAGGTGTCTAAATAGGGTTGCCAGATGTCCTGCTTTTACAAAGGTGAATGCAGCAAAAAAGTTTATTTTTACAGTTTTGACGTTGTATTCTCCTCCATAAAAAGTGGATGTCTGGCAACCCTATCTCTAAATAGTTAATGGCCCTTTATTTGTGCTCCTATCCACAAGATCAGATTAAGGAGGGGGCAACCAGCCATATCTTTCATTTTAAGAAATGACTTTTAATTGATTGCACCCCTCACACAGGCTAGTAGTCAGGTTAAAGGAGCACTGGTTTCTAGTAATGCATTTAGTCGTTGATAATTGAAAATAGGGTTGTTTAAAAATGCTGTTATTTTTGGTGTGAACATGACATAATGTTTGCATTTTTAGTAATTGGACCTAATGGACTTATGTACTGTTAATCTTAGATCAAATGAACGTGTTAGAAAAATTTACAAGCATCTTAAAAGGGATCAAAAATTAAGCTTTTAGGCAAATGGGCAATATACTTTTAGGTATATTTGAGTTCTAAACTGCAACAAGCTGCTTATGTTTTGCTCATTTGTTGCAGACAAAAGTAGCTAATCAGAAAATATACCTGTAAAGACTTATGATTAAATAGAAAAATACTACAGTTATCTTCATTTTGGCACATTTTAGTAATTTTCAGATTTTTTCTAAAGTTATGGAGGTCATATTTTTTCTCTAATACGATAAAAGTTAATAAAAATCACTTTTTTAAAGAGAGAATTATCCAGAAAATAGTTTTAAAAAAATGAGATACTTGTTGGAAGTGAGAAAAAAGTTAAAAGGTTTCAAAGTAGTCTATTTTGACCATTTGTAAATCAAAGGGGCCACTTTGTCGTGTTTATAAGGCTATAATTTTGCACTTGGATGACTGAAATTGCAAATTTAATCTATCTGTATAATAATATGTAAAAGTCAGGAAAATCTGATATGTATGTATGTATGTATGTATGTATGTATGTATGTATGTATGTATGTATGTATGTATGTATGTATGTATGTATGTATGTATGTATGTATGTATGTATGTATGTATGTATGTATCTTTTTTATCTTTTTTTTTTTTTTTTAATATTACTTTTAATAGTGTTTTTATTTTTCTGAATTTTCATTTTTATTTAAAGTATATATGCATATATATTTTTTTGCAACTTATTTTTTTTTTTAATGTTTGTAACTATGCATATTTCTTAACATATTTACAACAATAGTTATTTAAAGAGTAAAAAAAAACTTGATGTAAATTTAATTAACCAATCAAATTATATTTTAAATTTAATTTAAAATTTAAACTTTTTTTGTTTTGTTATAATTGTAATAATGATTTGTGTTTTAGATATACTAATGCACTTTAATTATTCTTGAACACTTGTACTTTTGCACTTAGACATATACTTGCATATTTTAGGTGTACTTAATGTTACATTGAAGACAGTTAGGTGAGATATTTATATTATTAAAATAAATTTATAAAAATTTATATATTTTTTTTAAAGAGTGTCAATTTATATTAAATGAAGAGAGTGGCACAGTGAAAAGTCCAAGATATCCAAAGCCATATTCCAACAACTTAAATTGCTCATGGAAGATAACTGTACCAAATGGTCGTCAAATTATTCTCACAGTTAATAAGTTTCAAATAGAAAGCAGTTATAACTGTGAATCAGATGCTTTGTACATTTATGATGGTCCAAATGACAAAGCTAATCTTTATTCTAAACCATATTGTGGCACTAATGCTCCATCTGTTATTAAATCCAAAAGCAATGATTTGTTTCTTCGCTTTATAACTGACAATTTAGATAATAATATTGGATTTTTAATACAATATAATTCAGTAAAAAGTTAGTTATATTTACTTAATGCTTAATTTTTTTTAAAGGATTCCAAAGTTGTTGTATTCAAATTAAAACCTTTTTTTATGGGACTCCAAAAAGGTTGTTCTGATCCCACAAGTGAAATATTTTTTAAAGTAATCTCTTTGTTTGATTCCGATATAAATTGTAAAAACATGTTTATCAATCATTTTTGACTTTGAGATATAATCCTCCTTAACTGCATAAATTTATGTATTATGTAAATTGTGTAAAAATTACCTATTTTAAAAATAAATTTAAATAACTTAGCTCAATTAAATAATATTTAATTAAATTTTTATTTAATTAATGAAATTTTTATTTAAACTTTTAAATTCATTTGACTCATTGTATAATAAAAACATTGTATATATTTTTAAGACAAATATCTTTTTTTTTTTTTTAATGTTGTAATTAAATTTTATTTTAAATAATTTTTTCTGCCATAAGTATTCTTTGTAGTTTTTAATGTTTAATTTATTAAGCTTAAATTTTTTTTTTTAAAAGTTTAAGTGTTAATTTTTTAGTTATTTTCTTTTAAGTGTTATATATTTGCTGAGTCAAATATTCAAAGCAATTTTTAAAGCAAAGGCACTTATTAATAAGTTTGTGGACACTTATTAATAAGTTTGTGGGCACTTATAAAGAAGTTTGAGGGCACTTATAAAAAAGTTTGTGGGCACTTATAAAGAAAAAAGACAAAGGTTCTTTTTTGAAAGTCACTTTACAATTTATTTGTTTTAATTTAACTACTTTCTGTAACACTTTAATAAACTTAAAGTCATAAAAGTTCTTTTAACATTTTTAATATATGCCATATGATTTCTGCACATTTCATTTTTAATGATGTTATATGATTTTCTGTAACACATTAATATGTTAAGTTACACGGCTTTCTGTAACACTTCAATATATTATGTTACATGACTTTGTAACATTTCAATATATTAAATTACATAACTATATATCTATTAAACTTATATTACTGATAATTTATATATAGCATTGTTGTTTTAAAACACTTAAAATAAACAAGTTATTTTTATGATGTGGTTATAGTTTAATATTTATTTTACTTTAGTTTAGAATGCATTATTAAACTTTTTTTTTTGATTAAATTTTATTAGGGTAACAAATTTCACCCTGTAAGTTATGCAAATTTAAAAAGTGTTAAAACCTCATGACTCTATAGCTCTATTTATTGTAATGCAAATTCAAGAAAGATATTAGATGTTTTTCTTGAATAAAGTCAGAATATATCCTAAAATAATAAATAGTAGACTCAAAACAAAGTCATTATTTATTTATTAATTTATTCTAAAATAATAGAAGTGAGTTGCACAGTAGTTAGAGTTCTGGCTCAGACACAAGCTGTTTGTAGTTTGATGCCGGCTCTAGCCCAATTAGCAGCATTGGTTATTATTTTTTTCCAACCGAACAATGATGGCGATGGTTATTTTTTTCCAACTGACATGTAACAATGATGAATTGTGATGTAACAATAATGGTGGAATGCCTTGTTTTTTCTACTTACATGATAGAATTGTGGTTAACAATGATGGTGGAATGCCTGTTTTTCCTATTCACATTATAATAAATATTTTGTGGATTCAAACATAAAATTTAGTAGCTAATTTGTCTGTTCATAAAAAACAAAACAAAAAAAAATCAAAATTCACCCTGATTCAACTTCAGATCTAGAAAAAAAAAAAAAAATAAACGTTTCAAACATAACTTGTAAAATTTATGTATAAGAGCTAATGATATCTTTTTATATATCAAAAGAAATTATTTGATTTTACATAAATTTTGCAGATTAAAAAAACACGAATGAAAAATTTTTTTTTTCTAAATAAAACATCTTGATATGTTATAAATTTTTATTTAATTGAGTTTCTACTTGACTTTGTGTGACATAAAACAAAGAATGAGCATAATGTTGTTTTGTAAAATGTTTTTTGTTGGTATGAAGGCTAGCTTCAGTATTATAACTCTTTAACCATTTTTTATTTAATAAACTTTGGGATCCTTTATAAATTTTTTTTTTTTGATTAAAAAAAGTGATATAACAGTAGTATTATAGTGTACAATTTATTTTTGTTAGTATGTGATTATGAGCTTGAAAAATCAAATGGTACTTTTACTTCACCCAATTTCCCTCAATACTATTACGCTAACGCTAATTGCTCATATCTAATTAAAGCAAAGATCGGAAAAACAATTGTACTTCAGTTTACCAATGTTGTTTTGGAAAACGAGGTAAATGGTAGGTATCAATCCTTTTTTTTTAATACAGTTATTTGTTAAACAGAAGAAGCATTTTAGTTTTATTGGTAGTATTGAGGTTTGTTTAGTTTTTTGTTGAGGCTTTTTACTAACAGTTACTGATTAAAAGTTAATCATTTTATGAACTAAAATTTAACATTACCAATTACAAAACATGCTCTAATTCTTGTTTGTTATGCTAAACAATTGGGTGGCTTGTCAACAAGTTTTTTCCATATCTTTTAAAGTTATTTATCTAGAGGGCTTTTAAGGCTTTAATAAATAGATATTTTGGTAACTTATCTTGAATGTTTAGTGTCTTATCTAATAAGTTAACAACTTAAACAACTAACTGATGATCTGTACAGATTTTGATGTTTTTATTGAATTGGTTTGTTAATATAAGATTTTATTCTGTTGTTGATGCGTGTGGTCAGATAAAAAAAGATTTCTTAACGTATTGAAGGCTTTTTACAATGTCAGGAAAAAATCAAATGAGCTTTTTTTCCTTTAATCATCTTACAAAAGTCGTCTTAGGTGGAAATCAAACTTGAATTTTACATTATTGCTTAGTTGCTTTTTATTTTTCTGTTTAACAGGTATTCTAATTTTTATTCTAGAAAGATATTACTCAGTTCCATTCTGCAGTAGGACTTTAACTATTTATTTAAAGTGGTTCATTGAGTTTACTTTTAATTGGTTTAAGTGATTCATTGAAGTAACTTTTAATTAGAAATAAATAGTTTATTAGGTAATATTAATTTTAATATTAGATAATATTAAGTAATACATTTAGTAATAATAATAATAACATTTAGTAATAATAATCTTTCTTAGTACTAATATTTCCTAAAAATTTATAGCATAATTAATAGTAGTAGTAAGTGGACTGGGCCCCGGTTCTAGTCCCATTCCCAGCTAAAAGCAAAACTTTTTGCAAATCTGGTCTCGGCATAATTATAAGATTTAGCAGGGGTTGATAGCCAGGGCTAGAAATTTATATATTATAAAATTTATAAAACTTTATATATTATAATTTTATGCTTATATTTACTGTTTATTAAATACTGGCTTATATTTATATATTTTTAAACTTTAATTTACTTCCAACAAGGTTGCAAGCAACAACTATTAAGTTATGAGTTACTTTGAAATAGAGAATCAGTTAAAATACTATGAAACAGTTAACTGAAGACTTGAAAAGTTGCAGGTTGTTTAAAAAATGAAAACATGAAGATGGGTAAGAGTTATAAGGTGTTTTTGATGTGCAAGGAAAAAAACCGGGTTAATAAAAGTTTTTATAGCATGAAGGGACAGATACAGTAAAAGGATGCATCTTGTTGAATATGAAACTAGCAAGAATGAGTTTTGATTTATAGTAATAGAGATGATAGCTTGTTTGAGCATTGAGCATGATAGTATTTGTAGAAAAAGAAAGAAATGCAACCTTACAACAATGTGAGAATGGCTCAAGTGTGGCAGATAAAGCAGGTCTAATTACATTTACAATGTGCTTTTAGACTTTGTGGGAGAGTAAGAGGGTTGTTATTCATTAGTATATGAATGCCAACATTCTTGCAATATTTTTTTGCAGTAAATAAATGAGTTTTGTTGTCTAACAAAAATTCCAGAATTTGAATCCATAAGCCACTTCAAGCCTTAGCTTAGCACTTCAAGCTGTTACAGAAGAGAGATCAGATTAAAAATCGGCTGCTTGTTTTAAGCAATCAAAAAGTGAAAAAATATTTTTCAAGACACGAGTATAAAGTTGAGTCGTCAGCAAATAGAGTCACTTTAGATTTCATGAAGATCATTATTGTAGATAAGAAACAATACAGGAGCAAAATTAGAACCTTGTGGTACCCTTAAAGTTACTTGAAATAAAGAAGTATCTAGGCCTTCAAGAATAACTTTATTACTGCAGTTAAAAAGAAACAGTTTCATAACCTCAAAACCTTTATAAAAAGAAACTAATAACAGAGTGAAGACTAGTTTCAGGATGGTTGGAGAGCTCAAAGTGTTTTCTAGACTTTTGAAAAATTGGAACCACTTATTTAGCACTTTTTGAAAATTTAGCAAAAATTGAAGAGAGTTCTGGAGAACACTTTTTAAGACTATGATGGAAATCTTGTCTGGAGCACAAACTGTAGAAATGTTTAATTGAGAATTTAGTTTAGCATTAAAAGCCATAGTGATTTGGATGTTTAACAATCGGTTAATCTGTTTAACTGTCAGGAGAGTATGGCCATTAGATTCAAGAGTCAAATTAGAGTAAGATTTCTTTGCAAATAACTCTGGTTTATTTTGGGGAGAAGTAAAAGGATCAGACCTATAAATTAAAGATTATATGTTATACTTACTTTAGTTAATGACACTGTTGAAGACTAACCAAAAGTCTCTATAACCTAACATCTGATATAAAATACAAGATTTAGTAAACTGAGAATAAAAGAGTTTAACATCAGACAGTAGCTTTTTACATTGGCTTCTTGGAATAATAAAAGGACATCAGTTCTTAAGAGAGATGTTCTTGTAAAAAAGTATATTTAATAAAGCAACTGCTCAAAATGGTGAAAAATGTGGAGTAGAATGAGGCTTGACTTAAAATTGAAAAGAAGAAATAAAAGCTTTCAAACTTTTTTTCAGAAGGAATAAAAGCTTCCAAACCTTTATTTCAGAAGTAATAAAAGCTTCCGAGATGCGCTTTATGCATAGATATTATAAAAATAAACACATGTTTGCTATTTATTTAGATGCTGGCACACAATATCCTTTCATATTTATATAAACTTGAGTATTTATATGGTTTAATATTTTTTAAAGAGAAAATGATCATGATGATGATCATCATCAGGATGATGATAGTAATGATGATTATGATGATCATCTTGGTCATAATGATGTAATGATGGGTCGAATATCAACCCCGGTTGCACACAATAAAGTAGTATTAGTAAAGTATTGAGTAATAATAATATTACCTAGCATTAATAATATAAACTTTTATTATATTACTTAAACTTTTTTAAATTTGCAATTGTTAATATTTAATTTTTTAGCTATAGTTTGGAACTTTTAAAATACTTTTGGAAATAATTAAATGAAATAATAAATGAAATTTTTAGGAAACTGTTTGGATTCTATCAGCGTTTATGATATAATCAATAATGAAATTAAACTTTTAAAGAAATTTTGTGGATCACCCCACCTTATTCAAGAATTTCATTCATCGTATAATCAGATGCTAGTCAAATTTCATTCAGATGATTTAATCAATAAACCTGGTTTTTTTGCAAACTACTACAGTCTTAGTAATTTTAAATTCTTTCTTAGTTATTATTTAGAAATTACTTTTTTAAATTTTTTTTAAAGTTATATTTATACATACAACTTTGATATATAGCGTCACCCTATATATCAAAGTTGTATTATATATATATATATATATATATATATATATATATATATATATATATATATATATATATATATATATATATATATATATATATATATATATATTTATATATATTTATATATACATATATATATTTATATATACATATATAAATTTATATATACATATATATATTTATATATATATGTATATATAAATAAAGTGCAAAAGAAAATAATGAGTTATGGTTCAAAAAATAATTAGTTGTTAAAATTTGAAAAAAAAAAGGTTAAAAAAATAATGGGTTTTGAGATACAAAAGTTTTGATTAATGTTTTAATATTGATTATGGATATAATAGTTTTATACCAATGAAAAACTTCCTTTAAGTTTTAAAATTATATCTAAAATTTTAAGAAAGACATTTTTCAGTATTATTGAAATAAGTATGTTGTTTTTTATTTACTGTATTCAATCGAAAGCTGCAGCAGATTATAAATAACCTACAATTTCAAAAAAAAAAAAAAAAATCCTGAAATGACTGAAGAGGTGGTTTTAGATTTACCCTTTTACATCAAAGTTTTGATAAAGTTGCTAATTATTAATTTAGTTTGCAAGTAAAATACATTAGATTTAATTATAATTAAAATTTTTGTGATCCACTCAAGAATAAGAATTTATATGAAATCTTCAGGGATTATCTTTTTCCAGATATTTCCGGAATTCTGGAAATTTCCAGAATTCTGGATATTTCCAGAATTCCAAATATTTTTTTTTTAATTTTAGTTTTTCTAAATATTTAAAATGTTTTCCATACATACAAGTTTAGCTATATTTTTTGTAATATATTTGTTTTTTAAGCTTTTTCACTCATCACTTGTAAAAAAAAAAGAAAAATTTTTTTAAAAAGTTTAAAACAACTCAGCTAATAGCACAATTAAAAATAAGGGAAAATATATTCTGGATTTTTTTTAGATAACTTACAGGCCTTGTTAAAAAGCGTTTCCCAATTTGAATTTTATGTACGTATTCACAATTTAACGTACGCATTTTGCAATTGAGGTTACGCAAAAACTTTTTTCAATTCGTTTATTTTAGAAGAGGTTATGCGGCAAATATTAAGCAGTAATTAAATGTTGTAAAAAACATTTGTGGAATATTTTTGTTATTAGATAAAAAAAAACAGATAATTTAATTTTTTTTTTCTACTTTTTTTCCGTTTTTAAACAGTTTTTAATCTATATTTATTTTTATTATATTTAAATTAAATTTATTATTAATCATAGTTTTAGTAGTTTATTTTATTAAATTTAATTAAAATTCTTTTAAAAATTTTAAAACGCTACGTTTTACAATTTTTATAGTAAAACGTATTTTAATTTTACTGATAAAATTTCCAAACTGTTAAAGTAAAAAAAAAATTTAATAAAATTGATTCAAGTTACTTTAAAAGGTTCCTATTATATATAACTCTATTTTAATTTCAGTTTTTTTTAACAAAAGTTTTTTCTTTACTAATTTTTTGAATTGATTATGGACTGAGTGTCAATCAAAAATGATTAACTAGTTCATGAGTAGTATTTGAAGATTTTGTTAAAACCAAAATGTTAAAAAAAGGGTTGATAAGTTTTTATTTATTTTTTGATCCCAAAGTGCCAAGATAAATTGGGTAGTTAGTAAAATGCGAACTTTTTTGCAAACCAAGACATATTTTACTGACCACTACAGTTATGATATTTAAAAAAACCTTTGCTCGTCAATTTTTAATTTAAATTAAATGTAGTGTAATTTGATATATTTTATTTAAATTAGGTTGTATTTCTTTTAAATTAAATATAATTTATGTTTCTGCTTGAAGTCCATAAAATATATATTAAAATAAACAATTCAATGGTAAACAGAAAATAAACAATACTACATCATTAACAATCAATAGAACTATAGTTCGCATAGAAGTTCGCAGTTCGCGGTTCTCAGTTCGCATTTTACCCACTCCCGATAAATTGTGTTCATGTCATAACATATCCTTAAAAATAAGTTTCATACTAATCAAACTTTCCAGAACAAATCATTTATTGAGATATTAAGGAAAAACTTTATAATTTTAAACGCCATTTTTTTTCTCAAGGTTCAGTTCCAGTTCCAAATACTGGTCTGATTTTGTAGTTAATAATTTTGACGTCAATACAAAAAAGTTCTTTGTAACTCGATTTATAAATGTTATATTTGGGTTTTCCCTTTGCCGTTAAATTTTAGTAGAAGAATTTCATTATTTTTTTTATAAAACGAACCATTCTTTAAATCGAATAAAAATAACATGATCAATGAATGAATTCATGAATGATCAATGAAACTTTTTAAAAACCTAACTTGTATTTATTTTATTTTAAAAACAAAACTAATACTAGTGCTATAAATATACATAATACTAGTGCTATAAATATACATATAAAGATACATAAATTTCAAAATTATACTAATATTTGTTAAAACAAGTCCAGCTAATAACATCTTAAAACCAAAAATACTATTTTATTTTTTGGATTTAGTAAGAAATAGTAAAAATACATCAGGTTTCGCAGGCTTGGTCGGGAAATGGGTGCAATTGCACTCAATAACTGACCATAGAAATAATAGTTAGTTGCAAAAAACTGTCCAGATTTTTCAGTCGTTTTGGTAACATTTAAATTTATGTATGTTTTCTTAATTAAATTCATTATTTTATCGTAAATTTTAAAATATTTTGTTTTACGAACATACATGGAAACATACATAAACTCGAATGTTTTCAAACATCTTTATGCGGAAAAATAAAAAAAGAATATTTGCACAAAAAACCCGCCAAATCTACAAACAACTAATTCTATTGGTTCAAAAAATACTAACCGAAATTTCTAGAGTATTATGTTGAAATATTTTAAAAGATTGTATTATTTGAGTTTTGTTAGGTTTTCGTTGAGATTTTTAGCATAAATTGTTTTAGGAATATACTATCAAACGAACTATTATTTTTATTCTCGAAGCCATATCTACAAAGTTATAAATGTTTTAAACTAACATTATTTGTTTACAAAAATAAATGTTTTAAATATATCTTTTTTAACTTGTCAATATATTACAGATTTTATTAGTATATTCTTATTTTTTATATAAGGGATGTATTTTTTATGTATGTAATGTATTTTTTATGTAATGTATTTTTATATATGTATTTTTTGTGCATGTAATTTTATGTATGTGTATTTTATTCAAATGTAATCTTTTAAAGCAATTTGTGCGATTGATTTTGTAAACAAAAATACTTTCAATAATAACTGCATTTTTTATTAAAATTATTAATAATCATCAAAGTTAATACAAATAATTTTAACCACTAATCCATTTTCCTCAGTGTACCCGATAACTGATTCTTTCCCCCAAGAAAGAAAAGTTCTTAGAAATGGGTTTACTAACTTCAATTATTTTTGCTTTAGCCGCTCTTACAAACTCATTATACTTAAAGTTAAAGTTACTTTTTTCTGTTTTAAATACAAATTAAAATTATTAAGCCCACTTACTAAACATCATCAGCGTTATTATGAAGCAGTTCCGCTTCCTCCTCACATAGTAATTTAACGTTTTTAGTTAATTTCTATTTAGCTAATTGAATTTCTACAGTAACTCAATTATTTAATTATTTCATTTGTTCATCTTACTAAGAAAAATTGTTCCAAATGTGTTAAACTTTTCAAACTACGTGAAGCATAAAACAGTTATTAAAAACTTTTTTATTTATAAATAAATCATTTAGCGTTAGTTTTATTGGTTGAATCTTGTTGGACTTTTCAGGGCCGGAGACTGCATTATTTTGGCGGCCTTTTTTATGTGCCACAGCATAAAAAATGACTAAAAAAATACTGAATGGTCCTCTTGACTATTTTGCAGCCGCTAACATTTTTTATTTTTTTTTAATTATCTTTGCTTCCAACAAGGCTGCAAGCAACCACTAATTAGTGTTGGAAGTTACTGGAAGAGAAAAGATGAAGATTGTAGAGCAAGATAACGATTGACAGATGACTTAAAAGATTGCAAATTATATGAATCAGGAAAGCAAGATGAAGGAAGCGAATTCCAAAGAACTGATGACGAATAAGAGTTTTTGGAGCACTTAGGAACAGTAACAGAAAAAGGATGAGACTTAATTGAATGACCAGTAACACGAGAATGAATTTTAGTAGATGGCACAAGAGACGCTAGCTCTTTCGAGCAGTGCCCATTATACTATTTGTAGAAAAGAGAAAGAGAAGCAACATTACGACGATGTGACAGAGGTTAAAGGTTGGCTGCAAGAGCAGGTCCAACTATATTTACAATGCGTTTTTGCACCTTGTCTATAAGAGAAAAGGCATCATTAGAAGATCCGTCCCAGATATGGCAACAGTATTCCATACAAGGCCGGATTTGAGATTTATAGAGATAGAGAATAGAATCCAGAGTAAGAAAGTGACGAGCTCGATAAAGAGAAGCAACTTTAGCAGATGCTAATTTTGCAACGGATTTGATATAAGGTTTCCAAGAAAGATCAGAAGTAAGAGTTAATCCTAGAAGATGAAGGGTAGGAAACTCATTGAGTACATTACCGTTCATAAATATAGGAAGGTCTAAACTATTGCGATAACAATTGGCTGAAAAAAATTGAGTTTTATCTGAATTAAAGTTCACCAGCCACTGTGAGCCCCATGCTGTAGCAGAAGTGAGATCCTTTTCAAGCTCAGATGCCCCCTGCAAGCAATCGGAGGGAGTTGGCTTCTTATCGTGACAAGAATAAATGGTAGTATCATCAGCGAACAATGCCACCTTAGATGTGAGAATATCTGGAAGATCGTTAATGTAAATTAAAAAGAGTATAAGGCCAAGGATTGAACCTTGAGGAACC